GCATCAAATATTGTGCATCTGTCGTAGCGGTGGTATTTCCTGGACATGAAAGGCTGATGGATACCAACTAAATTCATAGTTTTCTTTTTCCGAGACTAGTAACAATATTTATTTATAGATGCAAGTATTAACGCGACCAGTGTTTCCTATGGACTAAAATGCAAACTCTATGTAGCGATGTACTTAACTATAAAACCGATCAATATTTACCTTAGACTCAAGTATAAAAAATAAATGTTGACATTAAGTAATCAAAACAACGTTTGATATTTTCTATCAACCCAACCCATTTTCCTGTTAATAAATTAACAAATGCAATTTCGCAGAAAAGGTGTGTACTCTTTTAACTTTTGAAGGTGATAATAGAATAACCTGTCACCCCATTATGACTATATAGGTAGTAACTATATGTATCTGTAAGTCAACGGACATTCAGGGACTTGCTGGGATCTGTTATTAAGACCTTGCCTGCTGTCGAACTGTCTGCCTTCGGGCAGAGAGGAACTCGGACGAGGCTATGCCGAAGGGCAGAGTCTTGTCCGGGGAAGTAGACAGACACGAACCCGTTTATGCGGGATTCCGGGGAATTTTTGGCCAAACCTGGCTCGTTTTATTAAACTGACCTTTGTGCCACATCCTTCCTTGTGGAGAGACAGGTAAATGCTGATTATCAGGGGTCTGTTACTCAGCTCTTGGCTGTTGTCGAACTCTCTGCCCTCAGGCAGAGAGGAACCCGGACGAGGCTCTGCAGAGGGGTAGAGTTTCGTCCGGGGAGGTAGACAGACCCGAACTCGATTATGCGGGGTTTACGGAGAATTTGTGCCCGAGCCTACGGGTTCGAATTGCCACACATTATATTCGGCCTTATGCCACATCCTACCCCGTGGGGAGGTTGGAGAATATTTCTAGCTGGGATCTGTTGAGTACGACTCAGACTTACGCGAGAATTACCGACTTTCCAATTTCACTACTGCAATGAACGACCTTGTGCATAATTTGTACTGGTTATTACAATAAACTTTTTCTTATTTTATCCACCGTGTTTGTCAAATTTAGATTCCTCTTAGCACGGAATATAACAGAAGGATAACAAATTCTCTAGATATTTTGTCTACTTTTCGGTTGGATTACTTGAACAACGCACACTAAATGTGCAATACATATTTTCAAGTCGTCATTAAATAATTTTTTTCAACCTGAACAAAAGCAATTAACAAAAGTAACAAGTCAAACGAAGAGGCATTTCGCAATTATTAATGGCTAAAAGCACGCACAATATACATATATATATATATATATATATATATATATATTCATTTCTGTAGTTTACTTATTTCTTCTGATGATGGCCATTTTGGACGAAACTACTCGAGGAATCTAATGAAATAGTAAAAAAATGAAAAAATATTAATCTACAAACCCATTGTGTCTGAAGATTTTAATTTTTAATATTTTTTATTGTTCAATATATATATATATATATATATATATATATATATATATATATATATATATATATATGTGTGTGTGTGTGTGTGTGTGTGTGTTTGTGTGTGTGTGCGTGCGTGCGTGGTATTTATTCGAAAAATGGATTTTAAAATGGATTTTAAAATAGAATGTTGTATTATATATACACAGAATGCAGCTTGACATGTTTACTGATCAATTGTTGAAAAGGAACAGGGTGCATCACCCAAAACATTTCCTTCGAATTCATTTTGTTTATTTTATTTCCAATTAAATTACATCAAACCATGAAAACATGAATTTCAAGTGAACGAAAGACACACATTTTTTAAAAAGTAAAACTGTTTATTTTAACGATATGAGGTGCATCTATTTCCAATTCACGTTTAAAATATTATTAATCCAACCATGTTATCAATGTTAATAAAATTTTTAGGCAGCAATAAATTCAATTTCAGGAACGGAAAAATAATGTTTTTTGAACATTGGTGTTAAAGTATGAGAATAAGAGAATAAAAACGAAAACGAATAGGAATAATTTTTTTAAGATGGAGTTTCTAAGGAAGATATTCATTGAAAGAATTGCAGAAATTGTCAAAATTTTAAGAACAAGGAAAAAAAGAATGAAGTAAAGAAAGACGTAAAGAAAATTGAATAATAATAATAAGAAGAAGAAGAAGAGGAGGAGGAGGAAGAAGAATAAGAAGAAGATGAAGAGGAAGAAGAAGAAGAGGAGGAGGAAGAAGAAGAAGAGGAGGAGGAAGAAGAAGAAGAGGACGAGGAAGAATAATAATAATAATAATAAGAAACATAAAGCATCGAGGTGGAAAACACAGGGAGTAAAAAAAGTTTGTGGGAAAACGAAAGATGAGGAGGAAATATGGAAGTTATAAAAAAGGAAGGAGAAAAAGAGAGAGAACAATAAGGGGCTTTAAAATAGAAAACAGAAAGAAAGAAGAAAAAGAATTAACGAAAGAAACAACTAAAGGGCATAAGGTGATTCAAACAAGAGAGCAAAAAGAAAGAAAAAAATAACGAATGAATTAATGGATGAACGAATGAATGAGAGAAAAGAAAAAAGAGCATAGGGTGATTCAATATAGAGTGAGGTAAAGAAAGAAAGAAAGAAAGAAAGAAAGAAAGAAATATATTTAGCACAGGGATCAGTAAAAGAAAGAAAGAAAGAAAGAAAGAAAGAAAGAAAGAAAAAGAAAGAAAAAAGAAATAAAAAAGAAAGACGTGTTATAAGTACTGGAATTAGTAAAAGAAAGAAAGAAAGAAAGAAAGAAAGAAAGAAAGAAAGAAAGTGTAAGCACGGGAATTAGTTAAAAAAAGAAAGAAAGAGGTAAGAAAAAAAAGAAAGAAAGAAAGAAAAAAAAAAAGAAAGAAAGAAAAAAAAGAAAGAAAGAAAGAAAGTGTAAGCACGGGAATTAGTTAAAAAAAAAGAAATAAAGTGTAAGCACGGAATTAGTTAAAGAAAGAAAGAAAGAAAGAAAGAAAGAAAGAAAAGAAAGAAAGAAAGTGTAAGCACGGTAATTAGTGAAAGAAAAAAGAAAGAAAGAAAGAAAGAAAGAAAGAAAGAAAGAAAGAAAGAAAGAGGTAAGCACGGGAATTAGTGAAAGAAAAAAGAAAGAAAAAAGAAAGAAAGAAAGAAAGAAAGAAAGAAAGAAAGAAAGAAAGAAAGAAAGAAAGAAAGAAAGAAAGAAAGTGTAAGCACGGGAATTAGTTAAAAAAAAAGAAAGAAAGAGTGTAAGCACGGGAATTAGTTAAAGAAAGAAAGAAAGAAAGAAAGAAAGAAAGAAAGAAAGAAAGAAAGAAAGAAAGAAAGAAAGAAAGTGTAAGCACGGGAATTAGTTAAAAAAAAGAAAGAAAAGAGTGTAAGACGGGAATTAGTTAAAGAAAGAAAGAAAGAAAGAAAGAAAGAAAGAAAGAAAGAAAGAAAGAAAGTGTAAGCACGGGAATTAGTGAAAGAAAGAAAGAAAGAAAGAAAGAAAGAAAGAAAGAAAGAAAGAAAGAAAGAAAGAAATTAGTGAAAGAAAGAAAGAAAGAAAGAAAGAAAGAAAGAAAGAAAGAAAGAAAGAAAGAAAGAAAGAAAGAAAGAGTGTAAGCACGGGAATTAGTGAAAGAAAGAAAGAAAGAAAGAAAGAAAGAAAGAAATATATTTAGCACAGGGATCAGTAAAAGAAAGAAAGAAAGAAAGAAAAAGAATGAAAAAAGAAAGAAAAAAGAAAGACGTGTTATAAGCACCGGAATTAGTAAAAGAAAGAAAGAAAGAAAGAAAGAAAGAAAGAAAGAAAAAATGAAAGAAAGAAAGAAAGAAAGAAAGACCATGAGGTGTTTTAATATACTGAAAAGAAAGAAATATAGGAAGAAAAACCATAAGTCGATTTAAAATAGAACAAAAAGAAAGAAACTAAAGAAAGAATAAATGAATGAATGAGAGAAACACATATCATAATGTAAATATAATATAAACAAAAGAAAGAAAGAAAGAAAGAGAGGTGGGAAGAGGATAAGGTGATTTAATACAGAGAGGAAGAAAAAAGAAAGGCGATAGAGTGATTTAATATAGAGAGAAGTAAGAAAGAAACAAAATCATTAGGTGATTTGATATATTAGGTAGAAAGAAAGAAGAAACGAAAGAATGAATGAATGGCTGAATGAATAAATGAATGAAAGACTGAATGAAAGAAGGAATGAACAAATGAGAGACATAAACAAAGACCAGAGGATTTAATATAGAGAGTTGAAATAAATAGACAGACAGAGAACATAAGGTGATTTGATAGAGAGAGGAAAACAAGGACAGAAAGAAAAACAAGAAAGAAAAAAAATAATGTGATTTAATGTAGAGAGAAAAAGAAAGAAATATCATAAGCTGATGTAATATAGAGAGAAAAAAGAATCAAAAACGATATGGTGATTTAATATAGAGAGAAGAAAGAAAGAAAGACTGTACACTGATTTAATATAGAGAGAAAAAACGAAGAAAGAAATATATAGAGAGAAAAAAAGGAAGAAAAAATATAGAGAGAAGAATTAAATTAAAAAAAGACCATGAGGTAATTTAATATAGAGAGGAGAAAGAAAGAAAGAAAGACTGTAAGACAATAAGTTGATTTAATACAGAGAGCAGAAAGAAAAAAAGAAAAAAAGAACATAAGGTGAGAAAGAGAAGAAAGGAAGTAAGAAGGAAAGAAAGCGATGGTTGTAAAAAGTCTTGTCATTTTTGTCGATTTTTTAAAATATTTTATACGTGTATGCAATTTTAAAACATAACATTAAGACAGATCTACTGTCGAAATATTACTGAACGTTGTTAAACACTGTTTTTTTTTCTTTATAAATTGCATTCTTCTTTAAGTGTTAATAATAATAATAATAATAATAATGATAATAGTAAAAAGAAACGCTAAAACAAATAAGAACAAAAATGAAAGTCGCAAATTTAGAAATAGAGACGTAGAGAAAATAGAATAAGAAAGAATGAAGAGGGTGTGAAGAAAAGGGATTATGATATTTTTAGAGTAGAGTTAAAAAGAAAGAAAGAAGATAGGTAAAATTAGGGAGGATATATGAAGAATGGTGAGAGGAGAAAATGAAGAGAAGGAAAGAGAACAATATGGAGGAACAGTGATGCAACTGGGGAGGGGGTGGAGAAAGATGAGAGTTACAGAATGAGTAGAGAAGACGTACAACTAGAATGAAAGAAAGACAAGAAAAAGAAAAATCTAGAGAATGAAGTACCAGAGAAATAAAAATGCTGAGAGCTTATGAATAGAGGGAGACGAAAAATAAGAGCAAAAAATGAAGTGCATATGGAAAATAAAAGATAGCATCTAGAAATAAAAAGAGACAAAAAACAAGGAAAACAGGAAGAAAAAACGATCATGTAATGACGATCGTCCATAAAAAAAAGCGAGACGAAAAGAAAGAAAGAATTTGATTAAAACATGAAGCCAACGGAATTCAAATTAAGATTCGAATTGAAATGTATCTGTTGATTATCTACACAATTTAATAAATTTATTTTATATTTGCTCTGGTTAGCTTATTCCTATTGACAACCAAATATTCTGCTCTATTATTTAACTTATTGCTAGGTGAAGGTAGTTAGATTCGTGGATTTGCCAAGGGTATTAGTTCAAAAGTGAACACAACAACTATAACTTGTTGCATTTTCCGTGTCCATGACCGTTACAAAAGGATACAATGGATACAAAGGTAGAAAGGAAAGAGGTAGTTTTATGTCGATAACAAATGTTTCTGTTTGATATCAAGCTTATGGTTTCTCTTGAAGTTCTGTCGTCTGGTCGGCATCAGGTTTGACCGAAGTGTAATGCAGAATTAAAGGAGTGCATTTTGGATTTTTGGAGATCGTGTGACAACAAAGATGGAATTAGGCAGATATGTAAAAAAAAAAAAAAAAAGGAGGAGAATTAGAGTAGAAAAAATAAAGAAAGGAAGAAAGAAAGAAAGAAAGAAAAAAAGAAAGAAAGAAAGCAGGAGAGCAGGAAAGAAAAAAGAAAGCAGGAAAAGAAAGAAAGAAAGAAAAAAGAAAGAAAGAAAAAAGAAAGAAAGAAAGAAAAAAAGAAAGAAAGAAAGCAAGAAAAGAAAAGAAAGAAAGAAAGAAAAGAAAGAAAGAAAGAAAGAAAGAAAGAAAGAAAGAAAAAAAAAAACGAAACAAAGAAAGCAAGAAAGAAAGAAAGAAAGAAAGAAAGAAAGAAAGAAAGAAAGAAAGAAAGAAAGCAGGAGAGCAGGAAAGAAAGAAAGAAAGCAGGAAAGAAAGAAAGAAAGAAAGAAAGAAAGAAAGAAAGAAAGAAAGAAAGCAGGAAAGACGGAAAGAAAGAAAGAAAGAAATAAAGGAAGAAAGAAAGCAGGAAAGAAGGAAATAAATAAATAAAGAAAGAAAGAAAGAAAGCAGGAAAGAAAGAAAGAAAGAGATACGTACGAGAGAGAATAAAAGAGGACAGTAGAAAAATAGGGTAAGAAAAAATATGAGAAATACATGAATAAATATGAAAAGAAAGAATAAAAATAGGGTAATGGGTTATTTGGAAACACGCGGGAAACAAATGCCGAATAAATGTTAAAAAAAAAAAAAATGAAAGGCAGGGAAGACTTAAATGGCAAGCATAAAGAGTAAGAGAGGAGAGTTAAAGAAGAGAGAGATGGAGAAAGACTCAAGGGAAGAAAAACAATTACAAATGAAAAAGTGAACACAGGAGAAAAATAGAATAAGTGAATGGGAAAAGGAAAATAAGAAGAAAGAGTGAAATAAATATGGAACACAACAGTATAGAAGGAAAAAGAGATCACGAATAGAGAGAGAAATAAAAGAAGACGAAGAGGAAGAGAACATGAAGGTGATATAGGATAAAGAAAGAATGATATACAAAAGGAAAAAGAGAAAAATACGAAGTACCAGTGTAACAAATATGGGAAACAAATAAAAAAAATTAAAAAAAAAAACATGGCAGTTCTGGACTGCCATGTTTTGTTTTTTTTTTGTTTCTTTTTTCTCATTTTCAAGAAAAAGTATGAGAAATTACTTGGTTGGTTGATTTTGTTTAGCGGCATATCAACCCCTATGGGTAATTTAATGCGGAAATCTAAATATTTTGAACACAATTTCATGGCTTCAACTAAATATATTTTGAACTCAATTTTATTGCCTTAAACTATATAAAATATATTGTTTGCAAATCTGCTATAAAATGAATTATTGGTAATTTTTTTCTATGAATAGGTATTGTTGTAATTTTTCATATAAAAATGTATTACTGGTATTTTCATACTTTCATAGTGTTTTGTTTTTGTTTACGGAGGTCTCACTATTTGCCAGTAGCTGGGATCCTGACATGTGCTACCACAGCGGACCAGTGGGAACCTAGGAACAACAGCTATCAAAAGGTCGTTCGATACTCCTAACAAAACAAAAAAAAAACTCTTATGCCCCGATCAGGGGGTTTACTGCCGGTTGTAGTTTATCGTCATGAGAAATTAGACGAGTTTAAGAGTAAAGAATAATAAAGGAAAAAGAATATGAGGAAAATCTGGAGATATATGGATAAGGAATAATAAGGTGAGAGGGAGAGAGAGGGAGAGAGAGAGTTGGAAAATAATAGACAAAGAGATAGTAAAAAAAAAAACAGGGAATAAGTCGAACTAACAACGAAGTTAATAAAGAAGACAAGAAAAAGAAAAGTGTCCCTGATAGAGACAAAGGAAGAAGACGAGGAAAAGTCGACCTGGTTATGAGTAAACGAAAGAGGATGACTGAGAAAGGATATAGAGAAGGTAGTTGTAAGGCGGAAGAAATGCAACCAAAAATAGAGCATGAAAAGACGATAGAAAAACGTTAAAACGCTTAATCTGAAAAATCAACCGAAAATGAAGAGGAAATTGAAATTCGTGAAAGAGAAATAAACAAAAAATAGATAAATCAGAAGCTAATAGAGTATATATATATATATATATATATATATATATATATATATATATATATATAGCAGAAATAGAAGGCTATCACGTCGGGAAGAAGTTATTGCTTTGTAAACTTGAAACGATTCCATTTTATCGTTGGGGTTCTGATTATCGTGAATATAAAAAGAAAAAAAAAACTCTCCAAATTGTGTATCTTTCTTGCAAGATTTAATCTTTTGCTGAAATTCCAAAAACTTGAACTGTCAAATAAGATACCAAACAACAAAACAGAACGAAACTCTGGTAGATTTGATGGAATCATGATTACGGAACTCGCAATTTTTCAAACCGGTATTTATCTATTTTTGTTCCTTCTTATCTTTGCTGGATTTTCTTAGCTTCTTTTCAATTGCATTATCATATTCAGAACGCACCCAAATTGAAATGTTAAGGAGTCGCGCTCTTCTCAAAATATATTCAGATAGAGAGTGAGCAAGACGGACGGTGTAACGATTTTCTCTCAAGAATTGAAACGAAAATGTAATTACAGTAATCGAAAAAGAAAACGGTGGCAACCTCTAAATATCGGATAAGGCCTATAAATAATTACGAGCGATTTAGCATAAAATGTACAGATTCAATTTTTTTTAAAACTCTAAATGCGTACTACCTTGTACAATCGTACAATACACACTCAAATATACACATACAGTCAAAGTTATTTGTAAGTTACGAAAATGGCGACATTACGGCTTCTTGCGTTTTTAGGGGCTCTAAGGTTGATTTGGGAGAATCGATCTGACAGTTTGACACATAGAATTTTTTATTTTGTTCTCAAGTTTTTCGTGTTTTATGGCGTAACCTACCTGAGTGAAATAGGATAAAAAAGAATAAAAAAATAAGATTTCAGGTCAAGTAGCAACAAACCGGATATTGACGATTTCCGTTTACAGGTTTATATTAATAACACAGGGGAACAAATTCTAATTTTTTTCTCTATTGAATTAGATTTTACCCTTAGTTCTTTGTAATTTAGGTGCACTGAGGACGAATTTGTACTTGGTTTAGCTCTAGCAGCACCTGATTTTGCTCAACACCCTTCCCTTTTTGTAATATTCCTAAAAATGTTTTTTTCTCAATACTTGGTAAGTCTTTTTTGCAGTTAGGTTTTTATCTAGGTATTTATACCTATTGTCATCCTTTTATATGTAACACTCTAAAATAGTTTTAATTTTGTCTTTTTTTACCTCATTTTAATATTAGTAAATTAAGCTAAAAATGTCATATCATTCTAGAATTTTCTCTGCAGTTCCTGTTTTGTGTAGAATATTCTAGATTAATAACTGAAATATATAAAAGCGACTCGTTTCTGGAGTTAATCAACCAATTCAAATCACACTGCTAGTTTAAACTGCTTGTATAAATGAAAATTAATTATTTAGTCCTGATTTGAAAAATCTGGAAAATGACACAGGCTTTTGTCAGAATTCAGGATTTGAAAGCGTCAAACCTAGGTGAAAAAATATTCAGCGCGCTTAAATTACTTAGAAGTAAGACATCATTTAATAAAATACGTGTTCCCCGTGAATCACGGCTTGGATTGAAGTAGTCAGTTCGGAACAGCAACTGACGAGAGTAAAAGTATCCCAATGGTAGTTCCGATGGCGCCTATTCGTAGTTGCCAGTTATGCGATTGAGATAGGTATAGAGTCTAAGGAAAAAAAAATGATCTATGAGACCGACATGGCGGTAATACACACAAATATCACCTACTTCGCCACTCAGACCGGGGCAAGCAAAAGTATGAATAAAACTCCTAAAAATATTGGAAACAAAGTTAGAAAGTGGTGGTCGTTTCATTTTTCGTTTCTTTGCATTTTATTTTTTTATTTTCTTCCAATATACAATTGTTGATCGATGACGACTGTGCAAATTGTGTTCCATGTAAAATTCAGGAATTATTGCTTATTCTTAAATCGTGCAGACCTATGCTTTTTTTTCTGTTATTTCATTTATTTATTTATTTTTGGAATACAGATGCTGTGACATATTCATAAAAAGAAATAGAGGAGAAATTATTTGTGCTGATAGAAAATTAGGTCTAATATCGACGAAGAAAAGAAAATAAGTTTATACAAAATCAGATTAGAGATATCATCCGGGTTTTTCAAATTTGTGTTTTCTTAAAATGTTGCTCAAAAATATTTATATATTTTCCGTTACTTTTATACATGTGACACGTATCTGACCAATGAAAAATAAGAAAAATAATAACAATTCCAGTAACCTGTCGCTTTACTTTTTCATTTCTATCTCAGACGAATAATGGTGAAACATTGGGATACATTTCCTACTTGTTCTTTATTTTACGTTTTTTCCTATATATATATATATATATATATATATATATATATATATATATATATTATCATATACATATATATATATATATTGTGAAGAAAAATTTTCGCTTAAGGAATTGTATCAAGTATTTGCATAGTATTGGCTTAAACACATGGATACAGAAAGATAAGGTTCAGATGAAGAAGTAGTTGTGATAATTATATATATATATATATATATATATATGTGTGTGTGTGTGTGTGTGTGTGTGTATATATATATATATATATATATATATATATATATTTTTGTACGTGTGTATATGTGTGCATTGGTTTATATATATATATGTGTGTATATATGTATATATATATATGCATATATATGTCTGTGTATATATATATGCGTATATATATATGTGTGTGTGTGTGTGTGTATATAAGTGTACATCTGTATATGTGCATATATATTTGTGTGTATAGTTTTATACATGTATGCGCGTGTATATATATATGTGTGTATATATATATATGCATATATGTGTGTGTGAATATATATGCGTATATATATATGTGTGTGTGTATATATTTGTACATATGTATATGTGTGCATATATATTTGTGTATAGTTTTATACATGTATATGCGTGTATATATGTGTGTATTTATATAGATATATATCTGTGTTTGTATGTAAATCTTTGTGTATATATATATATGTGTGTGTGTGTGTATATATGTATGTTTATATATATATGATTAGGTATATATAAAAAGGAAGAGCTGATAGTAGTTTCGACGAGAGAAATGTGTGTATAATAAAAAAAAGAAAGAAACCGCAAATGATTTGGGTTGTGATATCTTCATAGCCCACCCCCCTAAAACTGCCTCAAATCAACCCCCTTATTCTCGAGCACGTAGGCTTTTTAGTATAGTGACTGACAAACACCTCCGAGAAATCCGCCTACAATAACTACATAAAACTATAAAAAAACGAGGCTACCCCACAACACTAATAAACAAAGGTTTTGAACTCGCAAAATTTTTTTTCTTTAGACTAACTACGAAATCCAAAGAAACGTAACGTGGAACAAACTCTAGCATATGTTTCAACATACAACAAGAACACTCCAGAACTATTTATAGGAATTACAAAAAATCTAAACCTACTTAGCAAGAATGACAAACTGAAAAATACACTAAAACAACGAAAATAATTAAACGCCAATCTAAAAACCTAAA